TCTTTAATGAGCGCTTTTGAGCCGAAAGTGGGATATCCTCTGTGATCCCCAAGCTCAGCTGTCTTGTACTCTCAAGGGTTCCGCACTTTGTTTGATCGCGAGCGCTATCTTTAACCCTAGGTAGGGAGGGAATCGTAAGCCGGAAACATTACGTAAAAGTCACGCCTTCCATTATCAGCCATCACTTCTGCTTGCGAATCAGATTCTTCCACCAAGACCTCCACGATGCCGGAAGGAGAGCGAGTGCGTGGCGCGTTGCAAAAAGACCAAATCAATGTAGTGTAGTTTCTCCTTCATTTATATATTATTGAACAACTTTCAGATCATGAAATGTTCGCTTCACCATCGGCCTCTCCATTGCTTCCACTACAAACACTTTCACATTCTCAATCAGCCATACTTCCTCATCATCAACAGATTAGCCCACGACATCGGACAACAATGACAGGAGGATATTTCCAAGGTTTGCCCGGGTCTACATTCTCTTCACTAGATTTCAGCGTCGATATCTTTGACTGTTACAGATCATCTGGCCCGCCCAGAACCACGAGTATCAGCTTTACAAGAGCAGAGTTATGGTAGAGGACAGATATTTGGAAGGATTGAGGTCAGTTCTACAAGACTGTCTGTGATTGAAGTGCAGTTTTTATGGCCTTCACCATAAGTGATAGGTCGCGACGCGGCGTTTGGGTCGATCAATAAATCAATACCACCACGGCGCGTCACACTTCATTAGCGGATTTCCGTTTTCTAATTTGAACAGCGCCACAGTCATTCATGCATCAACTCCCACGCAGACTATAAAAAGTCCTTTATGGCATTTGGTGGCATTACTTATTGAAGCACATAAGCTGCAGGAAATATTCTGGGCAGAGCTACAGTACGCATTCGAAATACTACATATTAACGGTTTTGAAATATTTCGTGTCTTCTCTTGGGCGGTCATGTGATGAATTTTAGCGATTCCACCCTCAGTCTAAATCGGCGATGACGTTGTATAGTCTAAATCTTGGCGGTGACTGGGTGTTGTGCATGAACTCGCATCCCTTATCTGAGAGCAAGAAGGGGCGTTTCTGAGTACGTAGCTGCGAACGCGGTGGCGGCTGTGAGGGTCTGATTGAAATAGAGACGGAGACGAAGAGTAGGCAGGATAATACATAATCGTCACTGCCCCTCTTGGTCTTGAGAGGCAGTGACAGTTTGCGGCTCAGGGCACATCATCGTTGGGGATTCTCCAACAGGGGGTCGTACTGGTCGCTGGGGGGAGGGTGGTCGTATTTAATCTGAGAAAAAAATTTGATAGCTGGTCTTGTTTCAGGTACGGTATAAGGGGGCGGGGTCGTATTTGCTTGTTATTGGGAAGAGGGGAGTCGTATTTCTCTTCCGG